TTGTTTCATGGCAAAGTATTTTGCAACTAATATTCTTTAATATGTCATCGATTGAAATGTTAAAGTTCCTTGAATTACTTGTTTATCCTTTGGAAAAATTACCAATAAATATTATTTTTCCTCACAAATATCTATTAAGTATTATCAATGGAGTCGTAATTCTATTGTATTTTAATTTTATCCTTTAGTTACCAAAACTCTTCTATTTTTTATTCGTATCACAACACCGACGGCACGGTGAATGCTTTTCAATTATCATTTATTCTCTTGCTCAACTATGGTAACGGCACAATGAAGGCTTTTTAATTGTCATTTGTTCCATTGCTCAACTACGGCAACAAGTTTGCTTCCAACCATAACTCCTAATTTTTACTTCGACTAAATTATTATTTATGTATTGTAGATTCTTTTGAGACATTGGCTTTTTAATTGTCATTTTTAGATTGGATTCAACATAATTAGGTCTTAGTAGAGCTTTTTTGCCCTTTTATTCTCACTTTTCCTTGTTCAAAAAATTGCTACAGCTAAGGATAAATATTAATACAATAAGTCGGAGTATTTACGAATAAATAAAGACAATTGTTAGAGCCCTCAATACCTTAAGTGTCTATATTTTTCAAGATAATGATAAAATTCGAATAAAATATAGTATTGATGAAGTTTAGGATTTCATTGACATAAAATATCAAAAATAAGATTTTATTTATATAAAACAAAAATGATGGGACTTAATAAATTTTTGTGGAGAAAAGTGATACTTATTGGTAATTTTTCCTCTTTAATTTGAGCTCCTACCATGAACTCAATACTAAATTAAACCCATTTCATTTTGCGACTAATTTGTCAAATTTAGGTAGCTACCAGAGTTTCCAATATAACAAAGGAAGTTCAACATCAGGAGTAAATAAGAGGTTGGGAAGGCCAAGACAAGTAGGTTATTGGTGGAAATAGTACAAGACATTTATCTAAATATTAAAATATGTTTATTTAAAAATTATTATTATTATTTTTTTTGGGATGCAAAAATACCAATTGAATTATTAGATTTAACATTTGTACACGCAAATAACCAAAACCAAATCCGACAACCAAATATAATTTTGTTTGTCATCTGTTGAAGATTTTTTTTTTTTTAAAAAAAAAGAAAGTTAAAGTTTAGATTGGCTAACAAAATGAAATTTTGTTGAAGCAAACAGAAAAATAGTAATTTACGTAAGTTGAATGGTCCTATAAAAAATGAGGCATGATTAAATTATTTTTTTTAAAAAACCAGAGTTGTGTTTAAGCAAAAAAAAAGAATAGCAAGACAAGTATTGTTACAATTGGATTCGGATAGTGAGCTATTCTTTCTGTTTCTGTCTTATGGTCTTGTGAGTTTGACCCGGCCAGCCTACTATGAAAGTGGGGATTCTCCCATTTTTCCTAATCAAGGATTTTGTTGGATTCAGGATCTACTTCACGAGGATTAGGACGTGCCTAGAAGAAATTATCACGAACTCAACTTTTTTGTATCACTAGGAATGTTTATCTCCCCTTCACCAACTAGTTTTATATGGGTGCATTTTTGTGACTCTTAGTGTGGGCTGAAAATACCACTTGTATCATACTATATCTCGTTGGATTAATATGATTTTTCAACCACGTGTGCATTTCAATGAAAATGTTTTGTCATTACTTTATTTAGAGCGTTACGAAATTGAAGAAAAGATACAAAGGTTTTTCTTTTCTAAAACAACATTAATGGAGGGTAGATGAATAGAATCTTTCAACGGTATAGTGCCACTTGCCTCCAAATGGAATTGATTCCAAAGAGATAAACCACAATTTATTCCTTCGACAGTCGCAAATATCCAATTTGATGCTTTTAGATACTTTTTCATACTTATTTCTTGTACTAACTACACTACAAGAATTTAGGGTTTTTACGTCACTCTTTTTTGCAACGAAATATTTATAGTAGCAAAAATATTTTTTTTGCAACGGTTCTTGATGCTGATGTTTAAAATGGTATATTTGCAATAGGAAATCGTTGCCGTGGCAAAAAGTAAAATCTTTTTTCTCTTTTTGCGCTGGTTTTTTTTTCCTGTCGCAAATGCCTAAACCAAAATGATTCTATTATCATCATAATTTTTTTCGCTACGTTTTTTTAAGGCCAATGCAAAAATTGTGAGTCCCTCCCCTCTTTTTTTGCTATGGTAGGAATTGAAAAAAAATTTACGAAATTTTTTTTTGTTGCAAATTAAATAATCAAAAAATAAAATAAAATTTTAATTAGCGACATTTTTATTTTCATCACACAATATAAACTATAACCACATTTGAAATTAAAATAAAATAAAAATAGTAAATTGCGACGTTTCTATTATTTACGTCGCAGAATATAATTTTTTAAAAAACCAAAACCACGTTGTGTTGACCATTTTTTTTCCTTACCCAACCAAAACGACGTTTGTTTTGTTCAGTCGACACACACACTCTCTCTCTCTTCCTCTCTATTCCCCTCCCCCTGCGAACCAGATCGTTGCCTGCCTGCCCTCCATCTCGAACCAGATAGTTGGCTCGTTCCTTGGTGTTTCGTCGGTGTTTTGGCGCATTCCTCGCAACTCTAGACATTGTGGGTTTTATTCACAAGAGGCAATCAAGCTTAGAGGTATGTCTTTCTTACCTTGATTTAATTTGTTTTTGATGGTTTGAGCAGAGTATATTTACTTTTTTAATTCATTGTTAGTGTAATCAAACAAATATAGTTTCATGCAATGTTATCAGAACGGATCGGTCATCGAACCGGCAAGGGGACCGGGTCAATGGTTCACTGGTTCAACCGTTGGATTAACTGGTCGGACCAGTCATATAATAAAAAAAATATATATAATAATTATAAAACTTAATAATTTAGCTAAAAAATATAAAATATGTATAAAATACATAAAATTTGCCATAAAATTAATTAAATTAAGTAACAAAGTGAGGATTATTGTATTTTAAAGCAAAGTAAAGATGTTCAAATAAATTATAAAGAAAAAAAAGGGGCGTCATTTATAATTTTTTCAAGAATAAGGTTAAAAAAAATCAATTATTTACTGATTTAGGACAAAAAAAATTTATTTATGTAATTTAATTTTTAAAAATCGGTTTTTATTAAAAACCGGTCGATTTTCCGGTTTTTAGCCGGTTCGCTTCCTTAAACGGTTCAACAAAGGAATCAGACCGGTTAAGGTCCCGGTTCACGGTTGAACCGGTCCGATCCGGTTCTGATAACAGTGGTTTCATGGACTCTTGTAGAAATATATAGTCAATATAATTGGGGAAAAAAGCAATTAAAAACCGAAAAAAAAAAAGAAGAAGAAGAAGAAAGCAAATACCTCAAGAAACAAATTGGACTGCTTCCTTTCACTCAATTGGACACGAGCTGAATCACATTGAATCTGACTTTGTGATTTTTTTTAAGTTGATTATCAATCTACGAAACACGGACACTCTCGAGAAGGTGACGTATCCGTATAGGACATTGACACTCTTTGGACACGTGTTCAATATTTTTTTATCCGTGTCTATAATTAAATGATAAATTTTTAATTTTCGACACGTGCTAGACTTTTCTTTGGTGAACTGTCCGACACTTATTTGATTACATTTCCGACACTTCTTTAGAACTACTTTTAAACAATACACATGTTAAAATGTGATTAATAAAACTTAAAAATTTTATAACATATAATTACTAACACTAGACATGTTAAAGTTGTACTCCAAATATAATAATAAAAATAAAAGATGCATAAAATTTTTTAAAAATAAGAATTGAAAAAATGAGAGCAATTATTTAAATTATATATAAGATATACATTGTCTACAAAAAAAAAATTGATGATTATTAACTATAATGAGGATGTTTTAGTCTAACAATTCACATAGATGGCTAGACATTAGGTTTAATTATCATTAAATACTGATTTTTTTTAATGAATTGTATATCATTATCACTATTTTTGTAATAAATTATATAATGTTACATATAAAATATAATTTTTTTAGCTTGTCCCCAATATATTTGTGTCCTACTTTTTAAAAAAATGTCATATCGACATGTCTGTATCGTATAGTATTCGTGTTCCATGCTTGTGTATGTGTCCGTACTTCTCAGTCTCCCTGGAAGTTTATTAGCAAGATGTAACATGATAAAATCTTGGGATTCATATTTTAAACTTCTTTTTGTTATGCTCTATCTGATTACAGACAAGAGCAAGTGCTGCAGGCACACTCTAATTGATTCCTAGTCTTCCAATGCTCAAATACAAGCACCTACGCCGTCATCTTGGCAAGAATTCGTTTAAAAATTGGAACTTATAGTACTTCCTCGAACACTTTAAGACAGATGAACCTTGAGAAGATCATCGCCAAAAAAAAAAAGTAACAAAAAGTGGAGAGACAAGAGCAAGTGCAGGCAGTTTACAAACTGATTCTTCAACCTCCAATGTCGTAGTACTCCTCTGCAGATGTTGACTCACTTTCCATTATCCTATGTAAATTTGAAGATACCTTTTTATTAAGAAATGAATTTATTTAATGTTACAATAGGACCCATCAGTAAATACATTTCAATATCACTTCATTAGTAACAACTCATTATGTCATCAAATTATGTCCCAATAGCATTAGTGTTTATTAAACAAGTTTAACAAATAAAGTTCAGGGGCTTTAAACCTAATAACAACAAATAATGCTTAGCAAGCTAGTGGTCTAGTATTATAAGATTAATGCATATTAGAGATAGACTCAACAGCCAAAATTTCCAGTAATAGTAAGCAAGTGAAAAAATACATATGTGTCGGACAATGATTAATCATCCGTTTTCAAGCGACCGGTGTTGAGGAAGTTGCGTCAGCTCCATATGAAAGTACTAGCATGATCTGTACAGTAGTGGGTTTGTCCATTATTAATTTTCACTCATACCCATCTCTAGAACCACCCTTTGATGATCAAATTTCATCTATAAATAGAGTGTTTCTATAAGCCATGTTCATGTCAACACAAAACCAAAGGAAATCACAATGCCAGCAGCCCCCTTCAACATCACCACGATTTACTTTCTCCCTCTTCTCACTGCATTTTTCATTTTTCAGCAATCCCATGCAAGACCCAGAGCTCCCAATTCCTTGGTCCTTGGTTTAACTCAGTCTAGGAACATCCTTCCAACTCCAAAACTTCCCTTAAATTCTGTGAGAAAACCATCAGAAACATTCGATATGTTGGAGCCACTGAGAGAGGTGAGAGATGGGTATCTAATCTCTCTAAATTTAGGCAAACCCAAACAAGTCATCCAAGTGTACATGGATACTGGGAGTGACCTCACTTGGGTCCCCTGTGGAAATCTCTCCTTTGATTGCATTGACTGTGATGACTATAGAAACAATAAGTTAATGGCAAGTTTCTCTCCTTCTTACTCTTCTTCATCCTTTAGAGACTCTTGTGCTAGCCCATTCTGTATTAACATTCATAGCTCTGACAACTCCTTTGACCCGTGCACTGTGGCTGGATGCTCTCTAAATACCCTTCTCAAGGACATCTGGACCTGTACTAGACCATGCCCTTCATTTGCATATACCTATGGTGAAGGGGTTGTTGCCGGGACACTCACTAGGGACACCCTTATTGTACATGGCAGCACCCCTAATATTACCAGGGAGATTCCAAAGTTCTGCTTTGGGTGCGTGAGTTCAACTTACAGAGAACCTATAGGAATTGCAGGGTTTGGTAAAGGTCCACTTTCTCTCCCTTCACAACTAGGGTTCATTCAGAAGGGATTCTCTCACTGCTTTTTGGCCTTCAAATTTGCAAACAACCCTAATATCTCAAGCCCTTTAGTTATAGGAGACCTTGCAATTTCTTCCAAAGACCTCTTGCAGTTCACTCCAATGTTGAAATGTCCCATGTACCCTAACTACTACTATATCGGCCTAGAAGCTATAACTGTGGGCAATATTAGTGCCACAGAAGTGCCCTTAAGCTTGAGAGAGTTTGATGCCTTGGGCAATGGAGGCATGTTGATTGATTCAGGAACAACTTACACTCACCTACCCGAGCCGTTCTATTCACAACTTCTCTTGGTACTGCAATCGATTATATCGTACCCTCGAGCCAACGAAGTAGAGGCGCGAACCGGGTTTGATCTTTGTTATAGAGTCCCATGCCCAAACAATACTTTTGCAGATGATGTTCTGCCTTCAATTACATTCCATTTTCTGAACAATGTGAGTCTTGTTTTGCCTTCTGGTAATCACTTTTATGCCATGAACGCGCCAAATAATTCCTCTGTGGTGAAATGCTTTCTGTTCCAAAGCATGGATGGTGCTGATTATGGACCAGCTGGGGTGTTTGGGAGCTTCCAACAGCAAAATGTGGAGGTTGTTTATGACTTGGAGAAGGAAAGAATTGGATTTCAGCCAATGGACTGTGCCTCTGCTGCAGTTTCCCAAGGGCTTCACAAGACTTAGTTTGATGGTAGCTCTTTCCGTTGGTCTATGCTGCTTTCAATAATAAATAAAGTTAAAGTGTCTTGTTTGAAAGTTCTAGGTTTAAAAATACCTGAGCTTTCTCATTTTGAGTTATGTAGTCAAAACCTCTTTAAGCGTGTTTGTGCAGGATCTCAAAATAATATCAAGTACTCAAATATCTCTCAGATACACAAAATAATTAATCAAGAAACAAATAAATAAGAAGACAAACCAAAAAGACAAACAAAAAAGATGACCCCCAAGGCTTGCGGCTGAAAAAAACGAAAAACCTGTATCAAAGCTCCTGCCACTATCTTTTTGGTTACAACAATAGAGAAAGACTTTAAGACTTTAATAAACACTAATTCTAAAATTTTAATTGTAAATTAATAATAAATAAATAAGGAATAAAATACTTAAAGAGTTTAGATCAAACTCCAACAGTCTCCCTTTAACCAAACTCTTTAATCTTGATCATCCCCTTCTATTTTACAAACGCATTGGATTTAAGTGGCTTTGGTAAAAATATATGCAATCCGATATTCAAATCGACAATGCAAAATTTCAATCTCGCCATCAATAACCAAGTCATGAATATAATGGTACTTTATATAAATATGTTTGGTCCTCCCATGCAAAATAGAATTCTTTGACAAAATAATTGCTAACTTGTTATCACAGAAAATCTTTGAAAGAATTTTTTGTGCATACTGCAAAAATTCAAGCATACAACGCAAACCATATTACCTGTGTAGCACTATTAGTGGCTGCATTATACTCTACTTTAGTAGTAGATAAGGCAACAACTTGTTGTTTCTTTGAAGATCAGGAAAACATTCTTGAACTGTTTTGAAAACAATACCTTGAAGTATTTTTTGTTTTTTACACATCACCTCCACAATCACTGACTGTATATCCTACAAGTTCACAAGAACCAATAAGAGGATAAAAAATATCATCACTCTAGGTACCTTTAACATACCTCAAAATCTTTTTGTTGCTTGAGAGTGGGATTGACGTGGAGACTCCATGTACCTGCTGATAAGTCCAACTCCAAAAATAATATCAGGTCTAGTGGAAGTTAAATAACATAAACTTCCCACCAACGTTTGAAATATGTGAAATTCACTAACTCACCATTCACATCTTTACCCAATTTCAATCTTTCTTTAACCGGATTTAAAATAAGGTTGCAAAAATCCATTATGAACCATTTAAGGTAATTCCTAGCATATTTCTATTGAAAAATAAAAATCTCACTATTTATCTGATTAATATCAATCGCAAGAAAATAGGACATCAAATTCATATTAATCATCTCAAATTGAAAAATTATTGTCTCCTTAATTTTTCAATTAACTTCAGATTATTCCCTATGAAAATAAGTTCATCCACATATAAACATACAATAATAATATCTCCCTGGGAAATAGTTTTGACATACAAAGTGTGTTCTTAGGAATATCTCTGAAAACTATTCTCAACAAAATAAGAATCAATTCGAGTGTACAAAGTTCTAGGGGCTTGCTTAAGCCTATACAAAGCCTTTTTTAACTTATAGACTTTGTTTTCCTCTCCTTTATTCACATAACCAGCAAATTACTCAACATATACTTCCTCCTCAAGGACACCATTCAAAAAAGCAGATTTTACATCCATTTGAAATATATTTCTAAAATTATTAGTAGCAAGAGAAATAATCATACGAACAGTATCAAGCCTAACAACAAGAGCAAAAACTTCAAGATAATCAATATATGGCTTTCGTTTGTAACCCTTGGCTACTAACCTTTCTTTGAAGCGATCCACCTCTCCGTTTGGCTTGAATTTGGTCTTGTGCACCCATTTAACTCTAATAGCTTTTTTCCTTTAGGAAGAGAAATAAATTCCAATGTATTATTTTTCTCAATGACATGAATTTCTTCATCCGTTGCATTCACCCAATGTTTCTCCCTTTAGACATCACTAAAAGAAACAAAATCACAATCTGCATATAAATCAAAAATTACCAAATCCTCATCTGAAATATCAATATCAGTGTCAATCACATAATACTCCAATCTAGCTGGCATGTGTCGTTCACGTTGTAAACACCTGGATAACTCTGGCTGCGGGGATTGAACAACAAGGGACTGTTCAACTGGTTGATCACTAACTGAATCATCAATATCAAAAGGAACAAGTGTAGTTGACTTGTCTTCCTTTTGAAACCAATCTCAAATACCCTGCTCATCAAAAGTGACATATCTACTAATAATCACATTTTCTGTGATGGAATTATAAAGCTTGTATCCTTTTTGTAACTGAATTGTACCCAATAAAAATACACTTTTTAACTTTATCTTCAAACTTTTTCTTGAGTGGATCAGGAACATAAGTAGATGCAATAAAACAAAACACCATCAAATGTTGAATACTAGACTTCTGACCGCTCCAAATCTCATAGGGAGTTTTTCCCTGAAAACTTCTAGTAGGAGATATGTTCAAAATATAAACAACATAAGCAACTACTTCTGCCAAAAAATTATTAGGCATATTTTTAGATTTCATCATACATCTAACCATATCCATAATAGTTCTATTTTTTTCTCTGTCATACCATTTTGTTGGGGAGTATACCTGGTTGTCAACTAATGCTTAATACCATAATTTCTCAAAAAAATCATCAAAACCATATATTATTGACCTCTGTCAATCCTCAATAGTTTAATTTTTCTCCCACGCTGCCTTTCAACATAAACCTTAAAATACTTAAGTGTATCACATGCATTAGATTTATTTTTTAAATATTCACCCAAGTCTTTTTACTAAAGTTATCAATAAAGATGATAAAATATCTACTCCAACCATTGGAAGAAAATTCAACTGAACAAAAATCAGAGTGAATCAATTCAAGAGGTCTTCTTGACTACCAAGCTTGTTGATCACGAAAAGAATCTCTATATTTATTTCCCAAAATACAAGTCTCACAAACTTGACTAGGAATATTAATAGCATGTAAACCAAAACCCAATTTTTTTGGGCAAAAAAATTTAACAATTAAATTTAAATGCCCAAATCGCATATGTTATAACAAATTATCCTCATAAATTTTAGAACTAAAAAAAGGTAAATTTTGACAATTAATTTGTAAAAGGAACAAACGATTAGATGTCATATTTACCTTTGTTATTAGTCATTTGCGAATGTCACTGATTGTACAAATACTATTAAAAATTCTCATGCTATACCCCTTTCTGAATAACTACCACATACTCAATAAATTGTGGTTAAGACTAAAAACATAATAAACATTTGAAATAGCATTCAAAAACCCATATTTTAACTTTATAGAAATCTTAATTTTTTCATTTATGCGGATGGTTGAAGCATTCTCAAATTTAATGTCGGATTGAATAGATTTATCCAATATGGTGAACATCTCCTTATAACCACAGATGTGATTACTACAGCTTGAATTCAGATACTATTTGTTTTTTTAAACATCATCCACTGCACTATCAACAAAAAACAAAGCCTCTAAATTATCATCATTGTCCTCTGCAATTTTAGCATGATAATTCTTATTATCAGGTTTTCTTAATTTGTAGTAGTCCTTTTTATAGTGCCCTAAATTTCCATAATAGAAGCGCTTCATCTTGGATTTATCACATTGTTCACCTCAATTATTACCTTTGTATTTTTCTCTGCCAGATCTATTTTGTCACGTACCTTGGTTACTTGAATGCTGATACTTTTGATTTGATTAAGATTTAACGTGGGACTTATCCTTCTCTTTCTTGAAACTTGTCTAAGTCTACATGGCTTCTTCTCCTCAAATCTCAATCTTTTCATTCAATCTTTGTTCATGGGCTTGTATGAAACCTATCAACTCATCAACAGTCAAGGAATCAAAATTTTTTGACTTCATGATAACTGTAATAATATACTTGAACCTCATTGATAAGGTCCAAAGAATATTCTCCATAACCTGGAAATCCTTTACATGCTCACCGTTTGCTCTCATGTGATTGACAATAACCACAGTCCGCAAGAATTAATCAGATATACTCTCTAATTTTTCCATTTGAAAAAGCTCATACTGTCTGTGTAGGGTCTGCAAACAAAATTTTTTCACCTTATCTTGTCCAATATAACAATTGATTAAGACATCTCATGCCACCTTTGTCGTCGAAACATGAGCAATCTTGTCATAAATTGAAAAATCAATTGTTCCATACATAAACATCAACGCACTGCTGTCTTTCTTTTGATTACTTCCCAATTCATCCTATTGGACTTTTGTGTGAGTTGGTAGATCTCCTGAATCTGTGAACTTGTTTGTCACAATTTATGAAAAATCCATGACTTTAAAAAACAACTCTATTAGTGTTTTCTAATATTGAAAATTTAACCTCCCGTCAAATTTTCAAACCAGATATTGAACGAACTCGTTTTTGTTTGCCGTCTCTGAAATTTACTTTGATATCAGATATAGAATCTCAGAATAATGTCAAGCACTCAAATATCTGTCACACATCTGAAATAATAAATCAAGAAACAAATAAATAAGAAGACAAACAAAATAGATGACACCGAAGGCTTGCAGCTAAAAAAAAATGAAAAACCCCTATCAAAGCTCCTGCCGCTATCTTTTTGGTTACAATATTAGAGAAAGAGTTTAACTCTTTAACTAATTAACTAATCCTAAACTAACAAGAATATTTTGTGGGACAATAATTTTAAATTCATTAAAATTTTAATTGTAAATTAATAACAAATAAATAATGAATAAAACACTTGGAGAGCTTGGATCAAACTCTAACAGTTTGCAATACAAGTTTTTACACTAAAAAGGCGTGGATTTAAAACTTTACGTTGTTTGTTCTTCCTGTTACCTAGTCTCGCTTTCAAGTGTAATGTCAAAATGATAATAAAATTGGAATCAAAAATAGGATTAAATAATGTGATGATATCTACTAAAGAAAATTCAAATTTTAATAGAATTTTGCTTCGTCGAA